TACCGCGATATTCTCTTTTCCTTTCTTTCTTTCTTCCATTTGCTCGCTTCACTCTTTTCCTGCTTCCATCCAAGTCGATTTTAACTCGGTCGGTGCTCGAGAACTCTTTTTTCCAATCGTTTCTCGTAGCTTCGCCCAATCCCGCGAGCGAGCGAATTCGTCTATATTTCGCTTTATTAAACCTTATCGTCGTGAATTCTATCCATCCGGCTTCGGGAAACCGGTAGTACAGGTTCAGAAACTGAATGAATGCAATGGAAATAAGAGTGGAAACGGCGAAGCGGTCTAAAAAGAAATAGCAAAAATTATCTCTTTTTTCTTTAAGAAATTTTATCTACTAATAAATATAATTACATAATTGTAACTGGCTCGTAGTCCTACTTTTATTTGTTGAAATATAATTACCTAATTTTTATTAATATTTTATTTACTTTATTTCTTTTAATTTTTAAAAGGTAGTAACACATCAATTATATAAAAATTTGACGAGGTTAATCCATAAAAAAAAAGAAATACGCAGTCACAATTTTTGCAAACAATTTTATGGAAATACATTGGAATATTATTGAGATAAGATATAGTGTATTAAAAGTTTTATCAAAACTATTTAGTTAAGTCAATCTTAATTAGAATTTAAAAATTGTTTTGTACAACAATATTATGAAATTAACATTGCATATCTTGGGAAATCTGTTTTTTTTTTTTATTTAATCGCCAGAATTTTTCTTTAAATGTATCGAGAACTTTAAAACTCGATACATTTTTGCGAAAGAAGCAGAGAACATAATTTATCAAAATCTTAAATGTGTAGTTATCATTGTTGTTCTTAAAGGTAAAAAAAAGAAAATAAAAGATTACGAAAGCTAAAAAATTGTAGCAGTCAGCAATGGAAATATCATCGACAACTGAGAACTTAATAAGAAGCTGGTAAAGTGCAGACGATGCAAAGCGGTACTTGCGATTATTTACCTTAAGACCGGTACATATCTAAATCTAAATCCTTTCTCATGATATTAATTTTGCTCGAAACAAATTAATGTTATTCGTAATATCATTGTTGATTAAATCATAATTGAATAATCAATCAAGCTTTTATCTGAGTTACTTTTATAAAACACGGTTTTAATTATTAACTTATTAAGGTTATTAGCGAACTTTACTCTGCATACTCCGATTGCAAAATACAGGATCGTTGTTAATTATAAATTGCCACCCTTAATTACAAACTGCGAGGAATAACACTTTTTCCAGCATTAGTGAAACAAAAGAACAGAATAAATCGAAATTAATCGAAAAAATTCAATAAAAAATTAGCAACAAATCGGTGTTCGTCACTTTTCAAAACTGGGAAATGCAAAGATTTGAACATAAAGAATCTATAGCGAAAAAGAAATGTGAGAAAACCTAAAACAATAAAAACAAGAAAAGGGCACAGACATCAGTATAATAATAAATATAAAAATAGATAAAGAAAGGAGAAAATAAGGAAAAGAAAATATGACGGAGGAAAGAGAAAGAGAGAAGCTAAGCGGATCAATGGCGAAGCCCTGTTGAAACGGAACGTCAGGATTGTTATTGGTGGCCGTGTCTCCACCCTTTTTACGTTTCATTCCCTCCTGTTTTTTTCATTTGCGTTACCACTTCCCTTTCTTTTTCCATCCATCTCTTTTGCTCGTTCTTTGCTATGGAGTTTTTAAATAAACACGCGCAACAGAGATTGAAAAGTAAAGCTAATTAAAAATATATGTACATCCATGCAAGCGAGAAAATAAATCATAGAATCACAAATCAAAAATAAAGGAAAGGAAGATGAAGAGGGAGAGGGGAGGCAGAAAAGGGGATAGAGAGTGGACAAGGAAAAGGTAGAGAACAAAGCAGATGAAGTGCGGAACATAGAGTGAACGGAAAAAAAGAAAAATTTTTTACCACGATATTCAACTGCTTAGTAGCGGGGGAGAGATTAGGCGAGTAGGTGGTGGGTTTGGAGAAGTATTAAAAGTGGGGAGATTGTCGTTTCGGAGCGGCAAAGAAAGGGACATGATGAGGTCGAGCCTCAGTTTACTTCGCGAAGAGTAGAGACGGAATGCTCTCTTGTTTGCAAGACAAAGAACCAGAGCCGCCGTGCATGCATAAACGCTATCATCTACATATTTCAGAATTTAGAGGGTAAAGAATATTTTACTTGTACTGTTTATAGACAAAATGATAAGAAAACCCTTGAAGTTTCTTGACAAAAAATATATTGAGAAAGAGTGAAGTGACGAAAACTATCCTAAGTTAGCAGAAGCAATGTTTGAGCTCTTTCAGCGATGACGCTACTTCGAAACTTTTCAAGGTTGCACCTAAGAGCTAAGTTGGCAATATATCAACAATAAAACCACGATAATTTGAAGTTGATAGAAGAGGAAAGCGTTCCAAGAATAGAATGAGAGTAGAATCTATCAAAACTGAATAGGCGGTTAGAAACTACCTTGACCCAGAGGAAAACTGCATGCTTGTTGATTAGCCTAATGATGAGTTCTCCCCTTTTCTCTCATACTTGACGCCAATTGTCTGCTATCTTCTTTCTCTCTCTTTCTCTTTCTTTGTCTCTCTCAGAGCTCTCTTTAGAGATTATTCCGTCCTCTTCACAACCTCCATTTAAATCTCGACATCACCGTGCCTCTTGACTTAATAAGAAATATTCCTTCAATTAGATATCGAAGTTATCATTGCAGATTTTTCAGCTCGACTCAATTCGAGAGCATCGAAAATACGCTCACGATTAGCTTAAGAGAGAATCAAACGCACTTGACAATAAAGACATTTCCATGTTGTACAACGTGCAATATCTGTATTTAAAGGTTTATAAACTTGATACCAGTGCTACGCCAATACGAACTGCTATACTCACTGCAGATTTATTTATATTACACGTAATTCGGTATTTCGTCTACCAAATCGCTATAACGAAGATTAACGTGTGTTAACGTGGTTGCAAACGGTTTGCGTAAAGGCCAGACACAAGCTGGACTCGCTTGAATCGGTTGTAACGGCCATGTTAATATTTGCGCAGCTCGATACAATAAAATTATATATAAAGCTCTCTCGACGGGGTGGAGCGTGTCGATTACGCGAGCGGGGACGAGAAGTATTCCATCAATTACAATTCAAGAGGAACGTCAATATTTGGCCGGACAATAGCGGATTAACTTCGTGAAAGAATTGTTGATTCAACCGACACGTATTGGGGATATCGAGACTATGAGCGCATTGTCAGTAGTTGAAAATTCATGTTGAAAGAGTGAAGTGAGATTTTATATTATTAACGGCTGTATATTTGTGATCAAGATATATTGCGAAACGATATGTAAACGCAATTGATGTATATCGTTTAAAAGTATATAAATTTGTAATCTTTGTCTATCAATGTCAATACAAAATTACTTCCGTGAAAGTGATACTTCACGTATTTTATGGCATTATAACATAATGATTATAACATAACAAGTTTTATAAATTCTTATTTGGTTTTAACGAATCAATATTAATGACAAAAATAAATCATTTCGGGATAGTTAAATGTTCCAGTAACACAGTATGTATCAATGATTCAGTTTGTTAATTCATAGCCCTCGTATGTATGTACACATGCATGATTACATACATTCAAGTCAGAGTTGGCAAACGTAATGTTTTTTTCAAAACAAAACATTGTGTTTTTTAAACAGGTTTTAATATTTTGAGCATGTTTTAAACAGTATTAAAGAAAAACATGCCTGAAACACGTTTAAAATATTGATTAAACATATTTTGAATATGTTTTAACATGATTTTTATCAACCCTGATTCAAATAAAGTAAAATTAAGTAAACTTAATCTTATTTTTAAAAATGTAAGGGATTTAAGAGAGAATGATTTTCACTTCATCTTTAACTAAGACTAAATGTGATTTCTCTATTCCCAAATTTTATTAAATTTTTAAAATATAACAAACGTACCGAGTTTATTTTCAGCAAGGACCAAATATATCAAATATAATTTATTAACTGTTAACGAGAAGGTACGCTTTTTTTAAATTTGCAATCGTATTTCAATTACGTATGATATGAAAATTACAACGTATCATGAAAATTTTGATTATCAAACAGATTAAGTTGCAACAATTTTTGCAAAACCATTCAACTTAATTCGAACAGAAGCTATTATTAGTAAAGTCAAAAAGTTAACCCATGAAGATTTTTCTAGCAAGAGAACGTTTTTAGGGCTATGTGAATGCCTGCTAGGGTAACTGTCCCAATTACTGTGCTGGTTACTAATAGATTTGTCCTTATTAGTATGCCTTTGTTTTTAAATAAGCCATAAAGAAAACTAGTATAAATAAATAAGAAAAAGTGTTTGTTTTAAGTTAAATTATTAATGTATACAATAGCAAAGATAGTATTCACTTTTTAACTTAAAGTTTCTATAATAAATATTTTTCGAAAGATACATATCATAGTTTAGAAAAATTTATGTGAGTCCAGTAACACAGCAAGATTTTAAACTTGCCCCTATTAGTGTGTCCTGTATTGGAGCATTGTGTCATGAGTGTACATTAAAATTTCAAGTATAATTAATAATGATCAAGTATAAAAAAATGATTAAGTATAAAAAATAATGATTAATGCAATTCTAACTTAAACAATTAACTTACAACTATTATCTGATTTAGTAATTTAGTATGTCAAAATGAGTCAAATGTAAATAAGCACAGAAATTGGGGACACATTAATAAAGTCATTGCCCCTTGGAGAAGCACACTAATAGATATTATCACCTTTAAGATTAAAAAAATATGATAAAAAAATAGTTGAAAAACCGATATTGATTCAAGTAGATTTTAAGTAGATTTCAAGTATAATTTAAAAATTAAAAAGCTACAAAATTTAATAATTAATTCGGCAAGGAGTAAGTTGGCTTAAAAGCACACTAATAGAGACAGTTGTCCTAATAAGTAGCTGATAGCGAAAAGTACTTACCAGCCGCGGCGGCCGCCTTACCCGCGTCCAATGCGCCGTAGGGCGGTATACCCATATGGGCGGGAGGTGGTTGCGTCAGGTGGTCTCCATTCGGACAGAAAAAGGGTAACCCGCTTGGATGCGTCCCCGCCAGGCCCATCTTGCTCGCCTATAAAATAACAAAATTTAATATATAACCATCATATTGTTTTACTTGACAATACGTCAATACAGTATGCGCCAAAAAAAAATGCGACTCTTACTAACACTTCAGTTGTCAGTTTAGTTAAATAAAGTGAGTGGACAGGGACAAATTTGTTTATAACACAAATATTTTGTCCTTCTACCAAATATTTATTCGATATGATTTCCTTTAATTGCAATCACTGCGTTACTGTGTCACACTCAGCAAACATAATAGTGATTAAAAGAGAGTCGCATTTTTTTTGGCGCATACTGTATTGACAGACGTAATCGACAGATTGCGAGTTCAAATCCTGCATTCCATACGTATACGGAAAAATTTGGTAATCTGACTTAACGGAAGTCGCAGAGAAACTCTTTAGATCTAGAGGGCTCTTTGACTAGGTTTAGACATATAAGGACTAATATGATCCTATACTCTCCTCCATACATACTAATACTAATACTAATCTGTAATTTCATTGCACGTCCAAGAGAAGATATTTAGAGTTGCAATATATATTTCAATATATATACTGCAATATATACTTCAATACAAAAGTAGATTAAATATCAATATTACATTACATGATGATTCTACAATGAGTCGGTAGTTTGTAATCGGTGAGTCAGAAGCGAGTCTGAAGGATAGTCTACGAGATCGTGATTGGTCGAAATCGATGAATCAGTAGAGTTGGTCAGCATTGAGCTTCTAAGACTATTGACTAATTGTAGAATCAACATGAAACGTAAAAATTAAGATAGGTTATCTAAAATCTTTAATTTCTTTATATTTATTATGTTAGATATTAATAAAACATTACGTCCACAGTAGTGTGTGTGTGTAAATATAAATAAAATAATAAGATCCATATCTGGGTGTTGCTGCGAACATCATTAGCTCTTATCATTATGCCAATACAAATTGTCTTATCTTTATCTGTTTACGGTACTTGTTTTATCACGCACGCGTGATACAGTGTACATAATGCGTTTGAATGAAAATCGCACGAGTGCGTTCAGGCGGTAACATCAACGACGTAAAAGGTGCAAGGATACCGTTAAGGATTTACAGTTCACTTTCGTACGGAAGAAACACGATATCCAATTCGATTCGCTCCAAAAGGGAGCTTATTGAAGAGTGCTTATCGAGGACCAGCTCGAGCGTTAATTTGCAAAGATCGTGTACAGGATTGCGAAGGGAGGAATATACTTCTCGAGGGTTCGTTTAATCTTTCCGTCCGTTCGCCTCGACGCAACGTCGGCGACGTATCGTCAAAATCGAGTGCCCTCCTTGAGGATAGTAGCGTAACCCACCCACCACTTGTTCAACCTCCTTTACCCTCTGGTCGCTTTTTGTCAAGTGACAGTCGATGAAATTGGCTCAATCTGCTCGTAAACTCGCAAGATCGCGCACGATTCCCTGCTCTTTGTCATCTCTTTTCATTCTCCTTCTTCCGTTTCTCTTTTCCGCGGCCGATCGATATAAAGGCTCTCGAGAGGTTGTCTCTTATCAGCCGCGGTGCTTACCATAAGTGTGGCGGTATCGCGCATCGATCTGACCGCCAGTAGAAGTCCTGGATCGAGAGGTTCTCTTTCCATCCAAAGTAGTACTCTTGAAAGAAGTCCAACAGCCTCCTCAGCGGTAGGCTCATCCTCGCCGTAATCTTCTTCAATGCCGTCATTCCCATCTTCTTCCTCGTCTCCATTGCGCTCCGACCATCTATCCGTCTCTACCTCGATTTTGACTCGGCAATGTTGTTCCTCGTCCGGTTCTTTTTTTTTAACAAGACGCGCCAGGGCACTCTCTTCGTCAAGAATCCAACTGCCGAGTTCGTCATCGGTGACCTCCAGTCCGATCTCCCTGGCGAGACTCTGCAGTTCGACAAGTAGCATTCTATCCTCCTCTTGATCCATCGGGTGGATTCTAGGCGGCAATATGGCGCCATTGCATCCCGCCAGCGGATGGTCCTCACGATCGCGTGGTAACGTCCAGCTGCGAGCGAATGTATCCGATCGAACACTGAGCCATGCGCGATGAAGATCCGCGAATGCTTCCTTTAGTGTAAATTTTTTTAAATATGCGTCCAATCGGTGATCACCTTCTTCCTCGGGCAAGCCCAAAATCGAGGGAAATTTATCGCAGTAAATGCCACAGCGTGCTCTCGATAATATACCGGTAGCCAGACGCACTCGCAATTCTCGGACCACCAATCGCGTTTCCATGCAATCCTTGGGTACAACAAACAGCCGTACAAGACCGTCCGCGGCGACGCAGTCACCTTCTGGTGGCAAGTAATCGGCACTTTCGGCTACCAGCACGGCTCCATCAGGATGCATCGCCATCGCTGTGACAGCAAATTCACGATGGAACCACCATAGGAATAGATCGGAAGTTAAGGAACCCCTGCCACCGCCGGCGTATACCACTGGTTGGCTCAGCATGTTGACCTTGCGTAGACAACGTGGTCGCCAGTGGCGGCCGGCAACCAACAATCGTGTCCGATGGTGGCCCTCGTGATCCGCCGCCCCCACCACCCACACCCGCTCGCTGCTCCGCGTCGCGTCGTGACCTCCGACGGTGCCGCCACGCCGTTTACCCGGCAGATCCCGCCAATCCAAGTAGCAAACGTGGGCGAGGTAGATTCGACTACGGTCGTAATTCTCCAGGGCACTTCTCAGTCTTTCAAGCGCGGACGAAGAGGACGAGACGTGCGCAACACCATGATCGCCACCGTGGCTGCGCGGCGTCGTTGCCGTCCGGCAAGACGTGGAGGACGTGGACACGGGGGAGGGGAATGGCGACGAGGAAGACACAGTGGTCGAAGAGGAGGTCGATACCGACGTCGTCGTCTCCGTCGTTCCATGAGTCGTCTCACCATTGTCTCGTCTTGTCTCTGCAGCGTTTTGCCTCCGCTTCCCAATCCCGTCGTCGCTGTGATCGGGAGTGCTTCTTTGCTGTTCGTTTCTAACCGCTGGCTTGATCACTAGCGGATCGCTCGTGACCGACGAGGTGGAGGAGCGCGCTGGTGACGAGGTGCTTGACGGTGGGGAGCTCGAACGGCGCGAGGACGCGCAAGAAGACGGCGAGGAAAGCGCCGGCGGCGACGACAACGATGTCGAGGAGCATGAGGTGCTAGCGGTGGCTTTCTCGGTATCTCTCGCTGATCGATGCTTCCTCCCCGCGGCGTGTCTCTCCCGTCGTCGTTGCCTTTCCGGATAACGATGCACCGAGGGGGTACAATTTTCACGGGCTGGCTCGGAGCTGCTCTCCAGGGACTGGCGCATGCGCCCGGTCCACTGCGATCGACCCTCGTTGCACGCCGTTGTTACCGCGGGCTTGTCCATTCTCGTTGTCGCGACTACCATTCCGCTTGACGTCACCGTCGACGTTGTCGCCGTCAATGTTGCCGTTGTCATCGTCATTGTTGTGGTCACCTCCGTCAATGTTGTTGTCGACGTCGCCATTGCCATAGTTGTTCCCTCGGTTTCTAGAAAACCCAAAGCGACGTGCTGAGCGCGCACTTGGCGCCCCTTGGTGGCCACTTTGCTGACACGCGCACACTTGCCGCCGCGAGACGGCATCGCACGATCCAAACGCATTCGCGGTCGCCTCGAAATCACACGAATACATACGCGTTTTATGAGCGTTGAAACGAAAACCGACTCGTCGTTGTATCGCGTATCCGGATCATCCGACGGACGTGGTGAACGGCGAACTCGCGGCTGACCTCTGGGAACCCGCGCTGCTCATCGTGCGAGAGCGAGAGCGCGCGATCCGCTCATCTACGGCGCGCCGCGCCGACATCGCCTACAACCGAGCGATGACTGAGCGAGCGGCCGCGACGCGACCGTCAAAGGCCGGAGCGGGAACTAGAAGGCTTTGATGTACCGCCGCCCCGGCGCGCACAAAGCGAAAGCGGCCCCGACTCGTTGGTTGGCACGGCATGCGGGGGAGGGGACGAGGCGGCGGGGAAGCGAGGGAAGTCGAAGCGAGATAACAGGAACGCGCGGCCGAGTACGAGTGGTGGTGGTGGCGACGGTGGCGGAAACGAGACAGAGGGGGCACAACGAGATGAGAGACACGTACAGTCGTCTCTTCATTTGAGCGTCCACGCGTATCTGCTTGCTTGCTTGCTTGCTTGCTTGCTTTGCCTCGTAAGAGACTCGCCACGTTCGCGTCTCACCGATGCGATAGTTCGAGACTGTATCGCATGCCAACGGCGATAAGATAAGCAAATTGTTCGTCTCCGATACCAACTGATATCCGTCAAACGCACAAATTTCTGTAAGAGTACAGTGTATAGTTGAAGCACGACGCGTTTTAATAATCTTGCGGATGTGACCTCCATGTCTTTATCTGTAGCATTTAAAAATTCACTCACAATATTTTTCTTTTTCAACTCACATCTATAAGTGCTTTCCATTTAATAACACAAGTGGGCAGTCGATCTATCTTTCTTACTCACTGAATATCAAGAAAGATAGAATGATATTTGTGTCGATTTGTGTCACCAAATGGAAAGCATTCTACGTTGAGCTACGATTAAAGATTGTAGAAACAACGATGTAATGTCTGCTAATGTTACAATTGGTGAGTCTGGAGAAATATACAGTCGCGACCGTGACAATTAGCGAGCACATACTAAATGTCCCAGTATAAATCCGAGAAGCCATATGTACATCAACGACAACCAGCTGCTGAAGATCTTGGGAGCGCGAGATCTGAATACGGGCCAAAGTCAACTAAATATACCGATCCATTTGGCCGCATAATGGCGCCCGACGTGTTTGGAGAACGCTTCTGCCAGCTCGCGCGAAACAAGTTAGTCCACAAAGAGACGCAGATTTGTTTCTGCGCTCCAGAGTTAAAAGCGCGGCCTTTTCACTGGTGTTTGTTCAGGCTGTTTATCGCGTGCGCTAAACGTAGATCGTTGACATCCGATCCCATGGCACTGTAATCAGAACGATCCCAATCGGAAAAACAACGCTTCCGGTGAATTATACTCGCGATTAATCAAACTCGTTTCCCGTCTACCAACCCAAGTGACTAATTTTATACAGACAAAGCGAAAATAAACTTTGTATCTTGAATGCTTATACGCGTTCAGGTAATGCATAGTATTGTTAACATGTGTAGAATTATCCATTGGCATTCGTTTCATTAACATCAATTACAACTTAAAAATATATAATCAATATTCGTTTGTCAAAATAAATAAAGTAAAAAATATTATGATAAAAATTTCACAAAATTCGAATATTTCTCAGTTAAAAATTGTCGGAAAGAGAGAGAAAAAGAGTGAGAGTGAGTGAGTGAGAGAGAGAGAGAGAGATTGATTGATTGATTGATTGAGCGTTTATTGCTGCTCTAGGGCAAGCCCTCTAAGAGCATACAGAGATAGAATACAATTGTAGAAGGAATGTAGAGTAATAAGAGAGAGAGAGAGAGAGAGAGAGAGAGAATGAATCAATTATTTATTTTACGCTCTGAGACAATGACTTCAAGGCATAATATATACATAATAAAATTGTTTAAATTTTTTTTTAATTCATAATAAAATTGTAATATAGCTTGATGATTAGATGCAGCAAAAACAGTTTAGAGCAAGTAAAACAAAAAAGTAAATGAATAAGAGAGTACCAAAGATTAAAAGTTGATATATAATACATAGTTGATATACATAGAATTGTGACAAAAGAATAACATAGAAATGTTGTAACAAGAGTAGAGAAAAAGTAAAAAATCTTGATACACAATAAGTAATTATAAAATACTGAGTTAAAAAATGTCGGACAGAGAGAGAGAGAGATACACAGAGAAAGATAGAGCGTTTACTATCGCGCGCGCGCGCGTTCTAGGACTCTGCTTCTTAAGAACAAACAAATTAAAGTAATATAGAGAACAAAGAAAATTTACAAAAATTAAAAAAAATTACAAAGAAAAACAAAATGAAAATAATGTATGCATAGACAAACACAATGAATTTTACGAATATAAAATAAAATAAAAAATAAAATACAAAGTATAAGTATAGGTATCGTAAATGAGTGATACATAACAAGTATAATAGCTAAGTTTTAGAGAGAGAGATAGATAGAGAGAGAGAAAAGGGGGAGGACAAGGGCGAGAGAAAATATGAGAGGAAAGAGAGAAAGAGAGCGAGGCGCAACGCTGATTGTGAGATTAATATTACAAATCGGATTTAGCCTTGGGCGCTGGTCGCGCGCATGATTATCGGCGTGTCGGCATTTCATAAACGCGTCCACATCAAACGCAGCGGGTCGGTCGATCGCGATAATATTTGTCACGTAGTTGCGGTACGTGGCAGCAGGCAGGCGTGTGCACCGCGCGGCTGTACGGTAATCGATCGGCTATGCTAGCAGCCAGGTAGGTAGGTAGGTAGGTACTATGCGTGATTACTCTCTCAGGTACGTCGCGCGCTATCTACACGCCCCCGGACTTTTAGGCGCACGCGAATAAGCAACAACACGGTTTGATCCGTTTACTTGTCGCGTTATTGCAATTTGCGATTTCCAGAGGAATATCGGAGTCAAAATGACGTATGATCATCTACATTCCGAAATTAATTGAAATACATAATGTACTACGTCAATTTTCGCGAAATCGATACATATTGGTAACTATATAAATATAAATAATTATAACCTCTTTGATCTCTTTAGAATCTACTTTTGAGTATAGATTTTAATTGTGAAATCTAAATTGTTGATGGAACTTTTTTTGTATTTTTTTTCACAGTTGTCATTACCGGTACGATCAATCATTTTATTTGCTTCAACCGTTGATAAAGCGAGGAAGCTTAAAAGCTCGAATTTACACAAAGGACACATATTCGTTTACTTAATGTTTTACAACTACTATGCTTTTTTATTGCGATTGTATCAGAGAGAGTTTGATGGTTCGACAATCTCGCGTATCAATTACCGCTTTATTCTCGAAAAATATCGAGATACGTACGAAAATACTAGAGAAATCTATAATATACGTAACGTATACTACAATATTTTCGTGCATTTTTATATCCGATACTTTTCGAGAACATGGCCTCAGAATGGAAACCAATCGCGCTCCAAAGACATAGTTAATACATGCCAACTTTTCGCATATTCGGTAAATATTGGCCTACATTTATATGAATAATTATGTCATGTAATGTGAGTGTGTAATATTTGCTAATATTGGCGTACATTAGCCATGTTGTCTAGAGTCGCCTTTACTCACAATACGAGAAAAACGAGTCTATCTTCGTGTACATGTAGCTTTTAATTGGATTATCTGTTTCGAAGCACCACCGTTACCGATAAAACGCATTTCCATGTAACGCCAGCAACCCAGACGGAACATATTTTAATGATAGCCATATAGCGAGAGACCACTACGTAAGACATACCTATTTATCAAATCTTTTTCTTGCGGCATCCTTTGTGACCGCAACCGAAAACGCAAATTCGTTTCTCTACACTATTTTATTTCTAAAACTTAGACCATGTTCGGATATACATTGCCAATACTGAAAATCTAGAGTATACGTGACATAAACTATAGATGTTTAGTACTGGTAATATATTTGAACACGGCCTTAATTAATCAATCATTTCCGTATAATCGAATCATCGTGTGCAAAAAAATAATTTAAAATTATATATATATATAATTTAAAAAACTAGAAAATAAATAGAATTTATACGAACTTTGAAAGCAAAAGCTCATTTGTATAAAATTTATATGACATCAAAGGTTCTAGATGTTTCTAAATTGTCTATAATATTCAACGCATATTTTCATTCATTAATTAAGTAATCATATAACATGTTGCGGAAAATAATACGCTTATCATATTATGTCCAATTCACTGTGAATGGTTACAAAAGATGCATTGATGTTTATTACTAGAGCACTGATCGCGAATCAACCGTTTGTCTCTTCTCTTCTCTTCTCTTCTCCGAAGCCTTCGTCAAAATCCGCGCAATGAAAACTGATACCTTGCGACTGCCGAGAACCGGATACCGGCAGGATCCGACGCGAAACGCGGGTATTATCGATCGCGACTCTCTCGCAGGACGAGCTGCGCGGATATAATCGAATTACCTGGCGAATTTGCGAGGAGGGCGGCCGGAGACCGATTCCAAGTTTCGGATGTTCTCTCTCTCGGTTGCAAGAGCCAAATCGTCAAGAGCAGCCCTCTCATTTCTCTTCCACGTCCATGGAGAGAGAAAGCAAGATTTTACCATCGATTTAACCCCCTTCGACCTGCTACCCTTCTCTCCCTCTTTCGTATGCAACAACACGGCTATACGAGTCCTCCACGCGGAAGATCGAATCAGACCCATCTCTTCTTCCTGCCTTTAGTACAGCGACAATTCGATTCACCTATAGTCACGAAAAAGTGTCAGACAAGAGCGGAACTCTCCCTCTCGATCGTAGAGTCGCGTAACATCGTAACGAATTCAACTCGTCAGTATAAGAGCCCTCCTAAAAGAGGGTCGGTGTTGGATTCGTGTCGAAAAGCGACGCAATACCTATTTGGCCAAGAACGATTCTCCTGTTTCTGACTATTGTATCTTGTCACGATTTATAAAAATCTGTGTATTTTCT